TGACTGCAAGTGAAGGTATCACGACTACAGCAGCAGAAGACACGCTCCTTTCCCAAGAGGAAGAGGAAACGCCTTCCACAGACTAAACTCCCCTCCCATTGGTCGGTTTTCCGGTTTCTCTCATTCGAACGGCCCCTGATTGGCTGCTGCCGGACGGTCGCCGAAGAAGCGTCTGCTGCTCGCGTTGTGCCAGCTGTCCTCGCGCACTCGGCCAGTGCTGGGCATCGGAGACAGGCTCCTGCTGAGTAGGATCACGGAATCTGCGAACCGGGTAAGAAGACAGAAAATCTCACAAATGAGAGGACGTCAGGCTGTAGAGCTGTTGACCAATCGGTAGATTTTATCACCTATATCATAATTAGAGGCGTTAAAATCCCTCTTTATGCCATTTACATTGGTAACGGCATGGTTATAACGAACATGAATCAGTCTCTGTAAACGAAAATTAGGCAAATTTGGCAGATTTTCTATATTTTGTTACATTTTTGCAAATCAGTGACGTGTTTCTGCGTCTAAATTAAAATGTGAATGAATTAACTCAACGTTTTTCCTCCCAGTAAATGAATGAAAAAACATTAGTTTCGCTTAAATGCGGTGAAAAAATGGAAAATTGGCGGTGATGTCGTGAAAATGGCATCGTGTGGTTTGGGGCGATGAAATATGGGTGAGATGTGTGTGTGTGTGTGTGTGTGTGTGTGTGTGTGTGTGTGTGTGTGTGTGTGTGTGTGTGTGTGTGTGTGTGTGTGTGTGTGGCGTGCCATCAGTGCTGCAAGGCTGTGTGTTTGTTATGTAAGTCCCTTTTAGGTTATTCTCTCTTCTCCCAAATTTATTGAGTCACGGTACTGATGATGATGATGATGATGATGATGATGATAATGAAGGGGTCTGTCTGTAGCCGTGGACACTCGCTTGTATGCACGATGTGTGAGCGCGCATGTGCGTGTGCTTGGAGTCCTTGGTGTGTGTGTGTGGCTGGGTACAAAACGCGAACAGGTGATTTAAAATCCAGGTTGTGCACATTATTTGGTTGGAGGGTATTCCTGGGTGCTGCAAATCCTTCAGGTACACCACATTGATCTGAATAAATCAGAGGGCGTCCTGATTAGATGATGTAACTGCTGCCCTACACATGGTCTGTTTCCATTAGGAATGCAATGGTTGTCTTCTAGTGTGTAACGTGTTAATTAGGGTGGTGGTGTAGCCTTGCCTCAGCTAGGTTTCTGAGTTTGCATGTTCTCCCGGTGTATATAACAGCCCTGTTTTCATGTAGTGGTTTACTTTTCTCTTATTGTGTATGCAGGCAGACTTATACAAACGTCACGCCTACAGGGCTGATATGAAGATGCCAACAGTGATTTATGTACCAGATGGTAAACATCCCTTTTAATGCTCTAATTTTGGGTATTCCTAACATGTAAGGGATTTCCTTGGAGGTTGCTGCTTGGTTCTTATAGGCCCTTACAGTCAGAGCTGTTGGTGTAGTCTTTGGGTTTCGGCTGGTCATGCATTTTCTAATTTTTGTATCCTTGATTGAGGCACAAATGTGCAATTCTGTCAGTTTTTACCACCATTTCAATGTGCAGGAGCTCAAAGTTTCCCACGTTAGAGAGGACGATGCTTTAGATGCTTGCAAAGCAGCAAAACTAAACAGCTTCTTCTCTCTGCTTTGTCTGAGTGGCGACACCTATTGTTCAGGATGCTGATCAGTAGAGTGCAGCAAGCACCCCACCCTCTCCTTTGGTGTAACTGGTGATAAGGAGGTGATGATGTCCTTTCGCAGCAACTGAACCTGATCACTTCATTGTCTAGTGGTCAGGTTTCCTGGTTTTCACCTGGGTTTGACTCCACGTATAGCAACTTGCATATAAGGACAGACATTTCAGGAAGAGGAAGTAAGGAGCAGCTTTATCTAATAATGGCCCTGTTGCACCTCCCACCTGATGAATGATGGTGTTGCCACTGCTAATTATGCACTTTCATAACCTGCTGTTGCTAGTTTGAAAATGTGTTTACTGCCACTTTAATGACAATACCAAAGCTCAGAGATTCACAGTTTATACTGTTGCAACAGTTTTCAAAAGACTAAGCCATTTCTTTTACCTCCAGTTTTGACTTCTTCTCCTGCTATACCAGCTCTGATGTGAGGTATTGTCTGAGTCGCTGCACGATTCAGGAGAATACTGCAGCTAGTACCTGTGCAGAGGTCACTCAGAGATTCTCAGGTTATACAGAGGAAGAAGCTTGAAAAACTGCACAACTAAATACCTTCTGCTCTCTGCTTTGTCTAAGTAGTGACAGCAATATTCAGGATGTTGGTCAGAATTGTGCAAAAAGTACCCGCGACTGGGCAGTGTTGATGTCACTGTGACAACCAATGCAGTGACCAAACTGGTGGCTCTAGCAACAGCTGAATGTCCAAGTAAGTGGCCAACACAAGCAGTCCCATATGTTCTAGTGGATAGGATTCCTGGTTTTCACCCAGGTGGCCTGGATTGACTCCCGGTAGAAGAACTTAGATTTTATGAACAAACATTTTAATAAGAGGACATAAAGAGCATAGGTTGGTGCATAGGAGTGGAGGAAGGTGCACACAGGTGTACTCCATATTATGCAGAAGGTCTTGATAATCTAAGATCACCTGCAGATGATGTATGGTTTGAGGTGGGACAATGGAAGATGATAAGCTTTTTATTGGGCGGGAACACGATGGAAAGGATTAGAGATGAAGACATCAGAGCGACAGCTCAGGTTAAGTGTTGTGGAGACAAAGTCAGAGAGTGAGGCTGAGATGGTTTGGGCATGTGCAGAGGCGGGGTAGTGGATATACTCGGCAACAGATGCTGAAAAGTGAGTTGCCAGGAAGGAAATGTAAACAATTTCACCTTCAAATGAGAAGAGGAAAAACTTGAAGAGTAGGTCAGACTGAAGGTCAAAGGTCAGACAGAAAAAATACTGGCAAAATAAATTTTATGTACAGCTCTTGGCGTTGAGTTTTTTCTAAATGTATAGTGTGATTAGGGGGCGTGTAGAGACAGAGATGCCCCTAATCCTCAGAGTGATGCCCCAGTTACCTTATTGTCTGTTTATCTGTGTGTGATTCAGTAATGCTTATTCATGCATGAACCTGCAGCAGTACACACAATTCTTCTGTGTGTGTGTGTGTGTGTGTGTTTAGTATCTATTCCTATCTTCAAGTGGCTGTAAATTTGCTGCATGTTGGTTGGCTTTTTAAATAGCTCTAGTTTTCACACATGCACATATGCAAGGTAATCCAGACATACACACACACACACACACACACACACACACACACACACACACACACACACACACACACACACACACACACACACACACACAC